TAGTCATTGAAAATGGGTCCTGCAAACAAGTAAGCATCGGCAGATTCAACAATTTCTGCACAGAAGGCGGTGCTCACGGCACCCCAGTAAGTCCCAATGAAATGGGGATGGTTCTCTGGCACAAGTCCTTTTGCTGATGGCATCACGGCGACTGGATAGCCACAGGAATTGGCCAATTCAACAAATGCATTAGAAGCCTTTGCCACTCGCAGTTTCGGCCCAGCCACCAACACTGGCTTCACTGCCTTGTTCAAGAACTCTACTGCTGCTTCCACTGCAGCCTCCAAACCCATCTGATTACTCAATCTGTACACCATTAAAATCAAAATCAATATAAATTGAACCAAAATATATCATTCATACGTGTACACACTCACCACTGCAATACACACACATATATATTCATATTAAAGCACACAACTCATAACTTTATCACGCTTTTTTCTATTCCGAAAATACCAATAAAATTAGTAACTGCTAAAACTCCATGTCCAATAATTATTAAATGGTTTTCAAATTCAACCATCATTCGTTAAACTGGTCAAAAATTTCTCACTTGCACAAGTCAGTAGGTGTAAACACTTTCTTGGTCATGCTTTTTTGATTTTCTAAAAATAGTCATAACAATTGATGAGTTTGAAAACTGCATGCAACAAAATCAAACTGATTCAAATAATTAAATCTCATGAAAGGTTTCTACACATCTTCTTCATTCATATGCTAAAGATCTTCACACACACATCACTAGTATTTATATATATATATATATTCGACAAGATCAAATTATCGAAGTTTTACCTGGGAGAGATTGAAAATGGAACTGGCTCGCGGCTAAAAGTAGGATGTGGAATTGCCGGCAGGTTACAGCTAACACTAATATAGACAGGTTTGCTTTCTTTCAATGCGGTTGATATCGCGTTATCGATCAGTTCATGTGCATCCTCCAAGTTATTCACAACTGCCTAATTGCATCACAATCCACAATTCACTCAAAAACATTCACTTCAACTCACATCATACATACGCATCCACACACACATTATACAAACAGACCTCACTCAATTGGTGTTCGATCGAGCAAAACTTGCCTTGATTTTGAAACTCAAAAATAAAATATTTTCGAAAAAATCTATTAAAAATAAATAAAAATAAAAAAAAATTTACTAAAAATAAATCTGTACATTTTCATTTTAAAAAATAAAAAAATTACGTAGATTTAAAAACACACGAAAATTCAATAACAGTTTTCAAAAACTAAACTCCACAGACCTGGTAGCAAGTAACGGTTTGAAAGCGGCGAAGCTCTTCACTGAAATCAGGTAGTCCGATGGTGTGATGAAGAATTCTATTAGTTCCATAATCATTCGAATTAGGACCGCCCACGATACAGATAACAGGGAGATTCTCACTGTAAGCTCCGGCGATGGCGTTGATGACGCTGAGGCCTCCGACGGTGAAAGTGACGACGCAGGCGCCGACGCCGCGGGTCCGAGCGAAGCCGTCGGCGACGTAGCCGGCGTTGAGCTCGTTGCAGCAGCCGATGAGGTTGAGGCCGGGCTTGGCGAGGAGGTGGTCGAGGAGAGTGAGGTTGAAGTAGCCAGGAATGGAGAAGACGTCGGAGACGCCGATCTGGACGAGGCGGCGGGCGAGGTGGCGGCCGAGGGTGGAGTCGAAGGCGTTGCAGAGGGGAAGGGAGGTCTGGAGAGTTGAGACGAAGCCATTGTGAGGTAGGGTTCCGATGACAGCGGTGAAAGGGATGGTGGAGGGTTCGACTGGTCCGATCGTAGTGTCCATTGATGATGATGATGATGAAGAAGATGAAATAGAACAGCACAAATAGAGTTTAAATTGTGCTTGACGAAACCAGGAGGTTTTGTCGTTTGTGGTGTTCTGGTTTGGAGAAGGCTTTTGGGAAAGCGTTGGGTGGTGTGTGATCTGATTGCAAATATTATTATTATTATTATTAAAATTACTTTAAAAAGGTGATTTTAGAATAGAATAGAAATGCGGTGCCCAAAAAATAACCCGGTGGTGTTATAAAGTAGCATGTGGACCCAACCGTATATAAAGGTGGAGAATTGATTACATATTTCTTATGGGAATTGTAAAGGTTGCGTTTGATTTTTTTTGGAATTAAAAAAGTTAATTTTTTTTTTAAATTTATATTTAAATATACAACTTAAAATTACTCAAAATATTATTTGGGATGATCTAAATAAGTATACTTTTTGACTTTTTATAAAATATGAATTGAGTTTGAAGTGATGTGATAGAGAGGTGATGTGATTTAAATAAAATGACAAATTACAAACACCCCCCTCGAGATTTGGCGAAAATACAGATTCCCCTGAGGTTTGAGAAATTACATCCCGCCCCTGAGGTTTATATTTTCATAACAAATTGTCCCATGAGGTTTTTATTTTCATACAGATTCCTCCTTAAGTTCTCCTAATTTGTTATGAAAATTTGACCCTCAGGGAGCAATTTGTAATTTCTCAAATCTCAGGGGGAATCTGTATTTTTACGAAACCTCGAGAGGGTGTTTGTAATTTGCCCTAAATAAAATAATGTGACGTAAATAAGATAGTGACTTTTTGACTTTTTTGTGTTAAGCCAAACCTAGCCTTTTAATTTAAAAATTATTTTTAAAATTTATAATCAAATACATAATTCAAAACTCTTTTCAAAATTTAAAATCAAACTATTTTCAAAACTTTGTTTAAAAAAAAAATTCAAATTTTATTTACTTCATTTTTTTAAATCACGATTTGAGTGTGGAGTTGTATTTTGAATTTTGAGAAGAAAAAATTTGTTTGGTTATGCGTTTTAAATTGTATTTTGAGATTTTTGAGATTTATTTTTTAAAAATATTTAACAAATTTCTTAATTTTATTTTTTTATGGTAAATATTTTATATTTTAAATATTTATTTATTTATTTTAATGTGTTCTATATTTCATACATTTGTGTGCAGTATTTTTTTAAAAATTTTAAAAAAATTATTTTTTATTTTAAATATTTTTTTATATATGTTTTTAAATATTTTAATTTTTTTGTTGTGTGTTTAGTTACGATTTAAATGTGAAGTTTTGAAAATAGTTTTTGAATTTAGTTTTGAGTTAGACCATCTCCAACAGTTCATCAAACCTGGTATCAAATTCAAAATTTGATGAAAAAGTCACTTTTTTGAGCTCCAACGGTTTCACCAAATCGATATCAAATCGAGAATTCAGCAAATCGTTTACCAAAATGAGAACAGGCGAAGCATTTCACCAAATCACTGTTCCTGACCGTTGGGAGAGACCAACCGGTCAACCAGCCGGTTGCCCGCCCGGTTGACCAACCGGTCGACCGCTTGAAGGTTCAAACGGTTCGAAGAAAAGGTTCAAACATTAAAAAAAAAAAAATTTGCCTAACCGGTCGACCACTAAAAGGTTCAAAAAGTTCAAAAAAAAAATCAAAAAAAAAAAAAAAAAAACAAAATTCACTTAACCGGTCGACCAACCGGTTGTCCCCGGCACAAATTTGATGAAAGTGCACCGTTGGAGCGAGTGGTATCAAATTTGGTAAAATGAGTCATTTTTTACTCAAATTTGGTGAAAAATCTGATTCACCGTTGGAGATGCTCTTATGTGTTTGGTTACGATTTGAGTATGGAATTGTGTTTTGAGTTTAAAATATTAAAATTAAAAAAATTAAAATATTTACAAAATAAAATAAATTATTTGAAATAAATTTTTTTAATATATTTAAATAAAAATTATATATTTAAAATAAAAAAATAAAATTTAATATTTTTAAAAAATAAATCCAAAAAATTTTAACAACTCAAAATTCAAAACTCAAAACTCAAAATATAACTTAAAACTCTTTTCAAAACTCAAAACCAAACAAATTTTCTCTTTTCAAAACTCAACTCATAATTCAACACTTAAATTGCAACTCCACACTCAAATCATAATTTCAAAACTAAATCAAACATAATGTTCCTTTTTTTTTTTTCTTAGTATCCCTTACTTTTTTGAATTCCTATCATCAAAATTGCTTTCTTTCTTATTTTTCTTTGGACCTTTTTCATAATTCCAAATATATCCTTTAAACTCTCATTTCAATACTCTTCAACCGGCAATCTCCCCCCACCTCCAGCAACCCGTTTCCTTTGCCGACAACCCTCCCACAACCCTTCTCCTCCACTGGAGACCCTCTTTCAGCCCACTTTCCCTCACCGATGACTTTTCTTTTTGGACGACTCACATCCTTAGCTCTATCCTCCTTTCCCTTCTTCCATTGGCGATTCTCTACTTCTTTTCTTTCACCCAAATCTCTCATTCCACAAATCTCAGTTATTTGTCATCGTTGCCACCCATACAACTACCTTGGAGCCCTCTCTTACATGCTAGTGTTCGATTTTTCTTCATTTGAAATTGTCTTGCTTGGTTCGAAAAACCAGTACCGAACAAACGGTGGAATTTCGGATGTAAACCACAGAACAAACAGTGGTAGATCAATTGTAGACCACCGAATAAATGGTGGTGGTTCAGCCCTGAACTACTGAACGGAATCTAGAGAAATCGCAAGCAGTACTACAATTATGACAATCATGCAAGGATGGTAGATTTGCTACCATCACTAATCTTCTCCAAAATGATAAGGAATTTGTGAGAAAACAATTAGAGAAAGAGAGCAAGAAGAAGAACAGAGGCTTGAGAGAGGAACAAAGCTGGGAATTAAACTTACCTTCTTTATTCAATAGTTCCCAGGCTATTTATAAGCCAAGTCAGAAAACATTATACAAAAGTTAAATGCAAAAAAGACGTGGTAGATCATGGAAGAAGTGGTTTACGACCATGTGCCGAAAATAATGAAAACAAACTATCATAATGAAACATGTTACCACTAATGAAACATGTGCTAACAGGAAGGAAAACAAACTATTACTAAGCCTATTTCTAAGGCAATATATTATGCATGACCACTTCCATCATTACCTCACGAACATATCACTCCCCCCTCCTTACAGTATCCTTGTCCGCAAGGATAAAGTTAGGGTAGGTCTTTGAAAAGCGCCAACGGTTCTCCCAGGTAGCGTCCTCAATGGGTGCACCCGACCATTTAATCAAAATCTCAGTTTTCGGTCGGTAACGTCCTTTGCAGATGACACGAGTGTCCAGCATTGCTTCAGGTTGGGGAAGGACCTCAGATGCATCAGACACAGGTGGCAATCGGTTGGAGGCAGTCGCAACTGGGCCGATGTGTTTCTTCAAGAGACTCACATGAAAGACGTCATGGATTTGGGAATCTGTTGGTAGCTTGAGTTTGTAAGCCACAGGGCCAACTTTGGCAAGGATTGGATAAGGACCAAAGAATCGAGGCGAGAGCTTCATGGAGTTGCAGAAAGCTACTGTTTTCTGTCGGTATGCCTGAAGTTTAAGGTATACATAATCACCAATCTCAAAAACAACTTCCCGGCGATGTTGGTCTGCTTGTGTCTTCATGCAGTCATGTGCAATGGCCAAATTCCGATGTAAATCACGAAGAATCTCGTCCCGGCTACGCAAGAGGTCATCCACGGCTTAAACTTTGGTTGTGCCAGGGATGTAAGAAAGAAGAGTTGGGGGAGGCTGCCGATACACAGCTTCAAAAGGGGAAATTCTGGTGGATGAGTGGACGGAAGTGTTATAACTGTATTCGGCCCACGTACCCATTCAGACCATTTCTTTGGCTGCTCATGCGTGAAGCACCGGAGATATTGCTCCAGTGTGCGGTTAACCACTTCTGTCTGCCCGTCGGTTTGGGGGTGATAGCTAGAGCTCATACAAAAAGTTGTACCTTGCAGCTGGAATAAAGTTTTCCAAAATGAGCTGATAAAAATTTTATCACGATCACTTACAATGGATTTGGGTATGCCGTGAAGTCGAACAATTTGTTCGAGAAATACTTTGGCCACAGTGAGTGCAGTAAATGGGTGCTTGAGTGGAATGAAATGTGCATACTTAGTTAAGCGATCGACTACCACCATGATGACATTTTTGCCTTGAGACAGTGGCAACCCTTCCACAAAATCCATGGAAATATCAGTCCATACTTTGTCGGGTATAGGTAGCGGCTGTAGTAGACCAGCAGGACGCGAACAATCAGTTTTGCAACATTGGCACACATCACAATATTTGATGAAGTCCTTGATCGTGGTACGCATATGAGGCCAAACAAAGCTGTTGCTGATGCGGCTCAATGTTTTATGATAGCCAAAGTGTCCACCAACTAGCGAAGAGTGATGTGCGAAAAGAATGGCAGGGAGTAGCTGCGAAGAAGGACTCAGATAGATGCACCCCTATTTGAAAAGCACCCCATCACGTAAAGAGAACTGTGGCTGGAGATGTGAGGGTAGTGAGGCCAGCAATTGACCATAGAATGGATCGGTCGCTACCTCTTGTTGGAGTGTAGTCCACCATTCGGCGATGGGCAAAGACACAGCAAGGAATTCGAGCTCTCCAACTCGTGAAAGGGCATCAGCACCGCAATTATCTTTTTCCTTTCTTGTACTCAATAATATAATCATACCCAAGAATCTTTGGTAACCACCGTGTTTGGGCCGGCGTTGTGATACGTTGTTCCAACAAATATTTTAAACTTTTCTGATCGATGCGAACAATGAAAGGTTTGCCGATGAGATAAGGTCGCCATTTACGGATGGCCTTAACTATTGCAAGCATCTCCTTCTCATATGTGGATAAGGCTAAGGCCGAGGGTTTAAGAGTTTCACTAAAATATACGACTAGCTGGCCCTGTTGTGTTAAAATAGCTCCAATGCCCACCCCACAAGCATCGCATTCAATCACGAAGGTTTGAGAGAAGTCGGGTAAGCGGAGGATTGGTGGAGTTGTGAGTGCTTCCTTTAATTGGGAGAAGGAAGCAGTGGCCTCGGAAGTCCATTGGAACCCTTCTTTTGATAACAATCGAGTTAAAGGGGCAGCAATTCCCCCAAAATCGCTGATAAACTTCCGGTAATATCCAGCTAAGCCTATGAAGCCACGAATTCCTCTTGCCGAAGTGGGAATAGGCCACTCACGAACTGATTTGATCTTTTCTGGGTCGACGGCCACGCCAGCGAGAGAAATAAGATGGCCCAGGTATGCCACCTGTAATACACCAAAACAACATTTAGATTTCTTGGCAAACAATTGGTTGCTAGATAAAACTTGAAGAACTGCTCGTAGGTGGCCGAGGTGGTCATCCCAATTTTTGCTGTACACTAGAATGTCATCAAAAAAAACTAGAACAAACTTCCTCAAGTAAGGTCGCAGTAAGTCATTCATTAAGCTCTGGAAGGTAGAGGGGGCGTTCGTAAGTCCGAAGGGCATCACAATGAATTCATAATGTCCGTCATGTGTCCGAAAAGCAGTTTTATGAATATCAGCCTCCTGGACCCATATTTGATGATATCCAGCATGGAGGTCGAGCTTTGAAAAATACCGAGATCCATATAATTCATCGAGGAGTTCGTCTATGACAGGGATCCAGTATTTGTCTTTGATTGTAATGTTGTTGAGAGCTCAGTAATCAACACAAAACCGCCAACTTCTATTCGCTTTTTTGATGAGCAATACCGGTGAGGAAAATGGGCTGGTACTGGGGCGGATCAAACCTGAGCCGAAAAACTCCTTCACCATCTTCTCAATTTCTGTTTTTTGATAATGAGGGTACCGGTAAGGTCGAATGCTCACAGGTTCTTGATTTGGTTGTAATGGAATGTGGTGATCATGGGTTCAGGCCGGTGGCAAGGTGTTGGGTACAGCAAAGACATGCTCAAATTCAGTGAGGATTTGGTCGAGGTCGGCGGGGTGGTCATTGACTGCAACTGGTTCGTGGCTTAGTGTGATTTGAAAGAACAAGGCTATTCCCTCGAGGTTGAGGAGTTCCTTATCACTTAGGGCGGTGGGTGTAGATTGTTTAAGGCCTTGAAACCTATAAGGTTTACCTCCTTGCTGGAAAGACATGGTGAGCTTGCTGTAGTCAGTTTTGATTGGCCCAAGGGTGGCCAACCATTGAACTCCCAAGACCATTTGACATGCTGTTGCGGGTAAAACATAAAAATCTGCTTGAACCGAAAAGTTTTGGATGAGGAGTGTAAGCCCAAGACATCGTCCATCGCAATCAATTTTGTCCCTATTGGCCACCATTACTTGCAACTTCAGATCACGTGCTACAGGCAGCCCAAATTTCGTGACTATGGCTTGATCGATGAAGTTATGGGTACTTCCCCCATCAATGAGGACAGTCACGGCTTTATTTTGTAGTTTACCCATCACTCGGAATGTTTGAGGATATGTCGTTCCTACTATTACATGGAATGAGATTTCCGGAAGAGGCTCGGTCAATTCAGTTTCTTCAGGTAGGTCCATAATAATGATGGGCTCAAGTAATGGCGACTCCTCGATCATGAATATCTGGGGTCTTTGACAGCGGTGACCCGGATTGAACTTTTCATCGCAATAGTAACACAACCCTTTTTCACGCCGTTCTTGTGCCTCTTGACTAGTAATTCGGCGGACAGAAACTGGACTATTGGTTGGGGTTTGGCCCACCTTCGGTGCGGGTGGGGGTCCTAGGACTCCGGCTGTGTTGTTAGGAGTGGGTCGTGGTGTGAATGTTGCCACTTGGGAACGGAAGGAACTACTTCCTCTTTTTTGTAACGAGTTGCGTTCTTTAATTAGCCGAGCTGCTCCAATGGTGTCGGCCAAGGTGCTTGGTTGTTTGAGCTTGACATCCAGGCGTATGTCGTCACGGAGTCCTGCAATAAAACACCCAATCAAGTAGCGTTCGGGTAGTCCATTAACCCGATGTGAGAGCTTCTCGAAGGCTTCTTGGTAGGCAGCCATGGTCGAAGTTTGTTTGAGGCGGGTCAAGGCTTTCGAGGGATCGTCATAGTCGGTTGGGCCAAAGCGAAGCAACACGGCCTTGGTTAGCTCGTTCCAAGTTAACGGACCCTTGAACTTGGTCAACCATCGAAGCCATTGCAGAGCTATGCCTTCGAGATGGAAGGACGCAAGCTGAACTTGCTGGTCAGGAGCAACATTTTTGAAATCAAAGTATTGTTCAGCCTTGTAGATCCAACCCGTTGGGTCGTCTCCGCTAAATTTTGGAAATAAGAGTTTCAGGTGGGTATGATTTCGGTCCGCGGTGTTGTTAGTGGCGGAAAGCAGTCGATTTTGAGAGGTTTCGGTTTGAGCAAAAGGGTTATCGATGGGGGCAGTACTATGCGAGATTCGCATGGATTGAAGTTCTGTCAACACAGTTTGGAGGGTACCATGAATTTGATCAAAGCTGGACTCATGTCGAGCTAGGATTTCGCTGACTTCATTGCGAAATTCAGCGTTGCTTTTGGCCCGAGTATCCATGTAACCTGGCTCTGATACCAAAATGATAAGGAATTTGTGAGAAAACAGTTAGAGAAAAAGAGCAAGAAGAAGAACAGAGGCTTGAGAGAGGAACAAAGCTGGGAATTAAACTTACCTTCTTTATTCAATAGTTCCCAGGCTATTTATAAGCCAAGTCAGAAAACAGTATACAAAAGATAAATGCAAAAAAGACGTGGTAGATCGTGGAAGAAGTGGTTTACGACCATGTGCCGAAAATAATGAAAACAAACTACCATAATGAAACATGTTACCACTAATGAAACATGTGCTGACAGGAAGGAAAACAAACTATTACTAAGCCTATTTCTAAGGCAATATATTATGCATGACCACATCCATCATTACCCCACGAACATATTATATTCGCGATTACGATTTGATGAGAGATAAATAAACAGATAGGTAGAGATAAAAGAAAGAGAAAGTGAGTCCACGAGTGGGGTGGGTAGTGGCGTTGTTGGTGGTTGGTGAGTCAAGGTGGAGGTGTTAATGGCTAGAGGTGATGTTGGTGAGATGGTTGGTGGGATTAGAGTTAGGGTTTGAAAAATTAGGGTTAGAAAGTTAGGGATGGGAATACAAATGGAATTTTATGTTCGCACAAAATTGAAATTAAAAAAAATATATATATATAAAAGATGTGGGGGTCCTAAGAAAAAGCTAAGGGTAAATAGCACTACTCATTTATGATACTGAGTATAATTTGCTCAAATTTAAAAGGTTTGTTCTACTAATTTTATGTGTTTCAATCATACAATGGTAAGTCACGGATTCATATATAGACGAGGATAAAGATTTATTCTATCAACATTGTGTGTTTCAACTGTGTAATGATAAGTTGTGAACTCACACATAAGTAAGGATTTGAACCCACACTCTCATATAATAAGTCACAAATTCATACATAGATGGAGATTTAAACTCACGCTTTTAACATTAGATATAATTTGCCCAAACTTAAAAGGTATGTCCTATCAATCTTGCATGATATCGTCGGAATAAATGATTTGGAAAAGAGTTGAACACGAAAATTTGAGTGTAATACCCAGTATCTTTTTACTCAACCAAACTCCTTGAATTTGTAAATGCTAGACGTCTAAAAAACAATTACATAATTCCATTGCTCATCTAATTGGAATATGTTTCAAGAATGTGAATGTATATAGTTGAAATCAAATTAATGTATTGTAAAATTCATGAATATAATAGATCTAGAACCAATATTGATGATATGCATTTGTTGTTTGTGTTTGAGATTTGAGGTTTGTCTTTTATGGACCCCATTGATGTGCTTAGGTTTTTTGTTTTTTTAAAATCATTATCTTTTTAATACATAGAAAATAAATTTTATATGATTGCTTTTTGGCAAATTATTTACTTAAAAATATTTGAGCACATTTTATTTTTAGAAAATTATTTTAAATTGTTTTTGGACTCATAAAAATTGCTTTTTACAAGAAAATTAAAATAATACGAAAAAAATTACTCTATTTGGATGAAAATTTTAAAAATATTTTCTTGAATTTTTAATTCATATTTTTATATTTAGTGATTTTTTAAAATATTTTAATCAATTTTTTCAATTCTTTAGATCTATTTAATCTAAATACACTTAAAAAATATAAAATTTATACAAAAATCTTTAAAAAATTCATTTAATACAACAAAATACGAAAATATACTAAATTTTATTTTATTTTTTTCTATTTTTTGTATTTGTTAAAAAAAATTACAAATATTATACTTCTTAAATATATCTAAGTTGGGTGTATCTAAAAAAATAAAAAATTTACGTAAAATATTTTAAAATTTTTATAAAACCAAAAAATACAAAAAATAAAAAAATTAATTTAAAAAAAAAAGTGAATTAAACCAAACAAAGTGAATAGATTTTTGACCATTTTATTATTTTATTTTTAAACAAAAAATATAATATAATAAAACTTCAAAAAGGATACCAAGGTTCCAACCGAAGGTTAGGTTAGATTTGTTGTAAACCATGTGAGTGATAAAAGACACTAAAGACTTTCATTGTTTGACCTAAGAGTTAGACAAAAGAGAATTGAGGCTAATGCTATAATTGCTGTATCTCAACATTTTTTATGCACAAAATATATGAAATTACAATATTGTACTTTTCTTTCATGAGAATCGGGAGACATTTGGGAACATAGATTAAAAGTTAAAAGTTAAATTTTAATTCATTTTGAATCATATTATCTTTCACATAAAATAATTAAAAAAGTTAAAAAAAAAGTCAAAAAATTAACTTTTAATCATCTTTACAAAACACCCTTGTTGATTCTCTTAACATTATTAATAAATATTTTAGTAGTATAGACAATGTACCATTATATTATTTAAATTTTCTATAAACCAAATAATAATAATAATAATCAGAGCATCTTTTACTAGTACCAATTTGGTGAAGGAGTGCTTGGACCACAAGTGGGAATCAAATATAATACAAAATGGCGTGGGAGCTTATAAGTTGACAAATAAAGCGATGTCATTTTGTTTTGACTTTTTGGTGTTTGTTAAAGTGTCGTTTGCTAATATTTACATTCTCAGTTTTCTATTTATATTTATAAAAAATTTAAAAATTCAAATAAAAATTTGTTTGGTAAAATTTTTGATTTATAAATCAGTGGTCTCAGTTTATAAATTTGGCCAAAAAATGTGATTTCATTTTGAGTTTTTAGTTTTTTTTTTTTTACCACCTAACACTAGTCACTACCCGCCACCATTTTCCACCACCGTCTTCCGCCACCACCACCCATCACTCACCCCCACCTGCCACCACCACACACCACCCACCTGCCACCACCACACATCACCACCCACCAGCCACCACCCACCTACCACCCACTCGCCACCACCACCCACCCCTCGCCACCACCACCACCACCACCACCACCACCACCACCACCACCACCACCACCACCACCACCACCACCACCACCACCACCACCACCACCACCACCACCACCACCACCACCACCACCACCACCACCACCACCACCACCACCACCACCACCACCACCACCACCACCACCACCACCACCACCACCACCACCACCACCACCACCACCACCACCACCACCACCACCACCACCACCACCACCACCACCACCACCACCACCACCACCACCACCACCACCACCACCACCACCACCACCACCACCACCACCACCACCACCACCACCACCACCACCACCACCACCACCACCACCACCACCACCACCACCACCACC